TTGTAAGGGTATACATTTAATCTGCGTTGTAGTTTCAGGCTTTTGCCGGTCTGTTGGCAGGTACTTTTTTTCGCAATTTCAAACTTCATACCAGATTTTAACATTGTTGTAACTACTAAAAAGATTTAATTATTATTTGCCATCCATGTAAGTCTTGGATCCATCCTTAGGTTATTACAAAGATACTCTAAACATCAGAAAAAATTATTCAGACGTGAAGTCCAAAAAATGCTTATAACACGTTTCGAAATGTTCACCAAGGTAATAACCGATTGTCAGTTGTTCGTGTTCAACACGGAGATGATGGTTAGCTATGTTTTATCTTAGTCTCAAAATGATGTGTCAGGCTTAGGCAAAGTCAGTGCACTCATATTTATTCAATAAAACGTCTAGCTTTTCAAGCTGGACAACCTCGTCAACAAATCCAACGTTTTGGGAAAATTGAACTGTCTCGATCGCACATTACGTGCTAACTCGTCAACAGATATTTTCAACATGCATTGACAGGAAGGGATCGATCGGCAATGCGTTCTTTCCGCAGAAGAACCCTAGTTTAGAACTTTCAGTGTAAGATCTTCCCCTTGGCATATAACCAAAGATGGAAAGAAAGTACTCTGAATAGCATATTTTGCACAACAGCGACACTGACTGCACATCGCCCTCAACGCTCACCACTTTGACAAGATTTTCGTTGATTTTTTTGGCCCATAACGACTTAACTGGAAAACTTAACCATATTAAGGAACTTCTTCATAACAAATCATTCACAAATTTTTCTCTTGATACTGTTCTCGTTGATGTTCTTGTTAATAATTTTTCCTCTTCTTCGAGAAGTTTTATTTATGGTTCAAGGTTCAAGCATAAAACGATATTAGACGCTTCATGGACAGTCCCAGAAAGTAAAGTAAATATACGACCTTACAGTACTCCCGTCAGGTTAATTGATAATTGAGACCTTCACTTCTACCACTTCTATCTCCAGCAATTCACAGAAGAAGAAATATCACTGCATCTGATATTCTCATTAACTGATTGGTATCTTAAATGATTCGCATTCCTCAAAACGGAAATATCAGCCTCATTTGAATGATTTCTTTCATCAAATGCGTGTTCTACGACTGCTGAATGTTTTATGCGAGTCTCAGGTGAACAGATAAGTTATCCTTTATAAAAATTTTACTGCACTTCTAACACTTCAGCTTATACACAACAGTGGAATTTTCTTAAATGGGTAACTTACCATTTTTATTCGATAAAGTTCTACTTAAACTCTTTCCCAAGTTGCAATAAATATTGAAGAAAAGTTTATTCGAACTTCCAATTGCATATTTTAAAGCGGGGTGCGAAATGGAAAGAATAGAAAGGCAGCTCATCCCATTGCTTGTGGTTTTAGGGAGCCTTAGATTGTAATTTATCTGCAGTAACTCAATCTGAAACAGAGATGCCTTGTAGAGGCCTATTCGCGGTGTTTCATGCAGACGATATGTTTTATATGGACATAACTTTAGAAAATAGGGTGTCCGTGCAGCGCGTCATAAGTAAAATTTCCAACCTTGCTTTGTGCTTCAAACTAGGCATCGAAAAGAAGGAGTAGAGAAACTTTTGATTTCCATTAGTATAGACGCTAAGGTGGAATTAGGTTTAAAATGTTTATTCTAAGCCCAATTACAGCAATCACTTTGTCTATCATTTGTACGTATCCTAGGAATGCACACTCTTTGTGCCCTGATGATGGGTGATATAGGATTGTCTGCAACGTGGGCTTCTGAACTTTTTTCATTCTTAGTAGGAAGGCTTGTATAAATCCATACCACTGTGGAAGAACTGCTATAGGCGCTAGTCATAGGCGAGAAGGATGCAGGATTTTTAAAGAAACGGGTTTTTCACACAATACCATGTTCCTCATCATCATGACTTACACCACATGTCAAAAGCGTCTACTTCTGAATAAAGTCTTTTGACTTCGAAGCTTCTTTGTGTTTCTAAAGTACAAATTCACTGGAATGATAGATTCACTTTGCCATAACAGTCAGGTCTGTGAAGTCCCATAAACCTCTTATGCAAGTACATGCTTCGAAAGGATCCTGCGTATTTTTCTGTTTGTTTCATTTTTCTGAGCAGCTGTACGTTATAATCATTTTATCCATTTTCAAGATTTAGAAACTAACGGAGTTTGTCTTAACTCGACACTGTCGATCGCCACGCTGGG